GATGCGTGTCACTTCATGAGACGATGGTGTCACTTCATGAGACGATGGTGTCACTTCATGAGACGATGGTGTTTAGAGACATGGAAGTGGATGGCTAATTTAAAAGTGACTTTCCTGCACGAAGAGGCGGAAAGATCACTCCACTTCCATGTTAGTCAGTCGGAGTGTATTGATCATACCCAGAACATTGGACCATCCATGTATATCAATGTATGGAATATAGATACATGCCTACATTGACCCCCCCTGACCACCCCTATCTATGCCAATATGGCAGTCCCATGGGTCTTGTATTGATCACATACATGCATTCATCTTCGTGGAGGCTTCCCCTCTTACATAAGATTACTAAGGCACGTCCTTCACCGTTTGGGGCTCTGCCTGCGTTTTCCTTGCTACTCACGTTCCATGGAAGTGGACCTTGCCTGGTCCATATAGTATCGTCTTCCCAGTGGCCATGTTACACTTCCATGTTAGTGAATCACCGTGTAGTAGGCGTGCATGCACATTGGTTACAGTGAGCAACGCTGCCGTGCGTTTCTCGCAACGCCTTTGGGGGGGGAGGGGCGTGGTGGTGCAGCCGGCCGAGAAAAGCCCTAGACATCCATGGCACTCTCCTCCATCCACCGATCTTCCAGCTTTTGACCCAAGGATCCAAGGACCAATCCAACTCATCGATCTCCTGGCCCATCAAGTTGCTCCGCGCCGGCTTCATCCGCACCGCCTGACACCCAACAGGAAACAAAAACGTTCTCGGTTGTTCTTGTTTCCAAATGTTGGCCACGAAAAAACTGCTGCCATGCACATAAATATATATCCTTGTTAAAATAAAGGGGGAGAGGTTGGGGCGAACAGTTTGTAAGGGGACCAGGTTTGGATTCTACAAAAAGCTGTGACCCAAGCTGCTTTGCCATCTGCAAAATGGCATGTACCAGAGCGGTTGTGTACAAAATGATGATGCCTCAAGATTACGCAACTATCTTATGCTTACAAGGGCATAGCCAGCCATACAGCAAAGGGATTTCTCTACAAAAATGGGGTTCTGTAGGTGCCAAAAACTGCATCGTTACAAAATGGCCCCTCTGTAAGGGCCTCAAGCTCTCCCTTTGTGTAGAGGAAATTTCAACGGGGATAAATATATAAGATATCCAAGGCGTTGCAAGTGCAGAAAGTGCACGGAAGCATCAGGTTGACTGTTGATGAACCAAATAAAAAACATCGAGATGTAAACGACCATCCAGCCAGGGAGCGGTAATTCTTCCAGAACGTATGCGGCTCGATCTAGTGCTTTATGATGTTGCATGAACCGTTTCTACCTCTATCCATTTCCAACGGACCCTCCGAACTGGAGGCTTTGGACCCTGCATGCCGTTGCTTTGGACCCTGCATGCCACCTACACCTTTGAGGATCCTTGATGCTCATAGGATATGATCGGGGATGTCTACTGGTACCGGTCGGGGCGCGAGACGACACGTCCCGGCCGCTCGACACGTCCGGACGGTCTCCGTCGCCTTCTTTCGCCGCAGGGGCTCCACCGCCTTCTCCTTCCGCCCGAAGCATCGGAAGCATAGACATCTGCGCGGCCTGCCAAGCGGAGGGGTATGGGGGGGGGGTGTTCAGAGACCGAGATGGCCCCCACAGATGGCTGGGCTCTCGACTTGGTGCAACAGCTAACACCGCAAGCGCACGTGTCCCGGAAAGCACGTCTGGGCAAACTGCAGGGCCTCAAGGTCGGCATAGAGGTCAACGAGCTGGTCATAGTCATCTGAGAGCTGGGATGAGCGCACATCAGGTCGCACAAATCGTCCAAGACCATCCAGGATGGTCTATGAGCTGGTATGAGCTGGTATGGAATCGTTGCATACCAGCATCCGTCCTAGGAGTCCTGTCTGTCCAGACAAGTAGTGCAGGGTTTTTATTCAGTTTACTCAGATGATCCAGGTATACATTGTGATCATGCATGAGGATTATGTCACTTATTCCAGTCTCATGGACGGTCTGGGTTTGAACGACCCCTGAACCACGTGGGCATAGACCATGGATGGTTATTCCCATGGCACCTGCTCCGTGCTACCCCCTGCTCCGCGCCGCAGCGGACTATCGCGGACTCAGATCCAAGCGGCCCATTCGATGAACCTCCGCGGCTGCAGATTCAGCGATTCCAATGACTTCCTCGGCCGAGCTCCGTGCGAAGGCGCTCGGAATCAGAGCGCTCGGCCCCTCCCTCCGCCCGGTCCGTGCTGTCCGTGGCTGATCAACGACCAAAGCCCGGCAGCAGTTGAGCTTCACACTCCAGTCCGGACAGCAGTCGGTCAGCAGTTCCAGCATCTACCCGGCAGTTCCGAGTTGGAATGTTGAATGTAATAAGTATATAGACACCACCCGAACATTCAACATCAACACTTATGACCCCCGATACTTATTACAACTGAATGTAATTGAATGTCGAATGTCGAATGATCAATGTGACTGGTACCAATTGATCTTCGGTTCCACCACTCGATGGGTTCGTCAATCTGCCAGGCCATGGTGTGGACCTTCGGACCTTCCTGAACGCATGATCCCTATCCCTCACCTTCCGACACATCCTTTTTGACTCAACACCATGGGAACGGACGGGTTCTCCTTTGGTTAGTTCTCCTGTCTGCCTAAGTGCTCGACCCCAAATCGGGATGGATTTCAAGGGGTGTGGATCGTATGCCTTACAGTAGGCGTCCCTGGGGATCTTCTGCTCCATTGATTGCGTAGCTCAGCCGAATCACCCAACGACTGCCTAAGGGACCGTGTGTTGCTTGCACTTCGACTCATTTGGATTGATTGATCAATTGAATTGATCGTTGATCATGTATCACACTTCTTCATACTTCCCTCTGCTTGGATCATCTCAGCGCTCGGTACCACCGTGTGCCCACCGTGTGGAGGTCCCCGTGTCCCAGTTTCTCAACGACCTGCCGGGAGTCATAGGATTCAAGTGATTCCCAGAACCCATGGTGAACAGCCGGTGCTGCGGCTGCTCCTGCAGAGCCAGGAGAAAAACTGGACTCAGTGGCTGATGGTTTGCGCCGAAGAGCCCGAAAAAAAGGGCCACGTTGGAAGACGCAGGTCCACAAAAAGGTGTCCGGTCTTGGTTGGTAGCTACGTTGGAAAGCACCATGAAATCAACGCTGCCTCAGTTTTTAAGCGCGAGCTTTAACAAAAGCACATGGCCTAAATGAGCATCCTTTGGCAGATCTGTGTGCCTGAGTGCTTCTGGGAACAAACAAAATGCACACACCAAAAGCGATACAGCTAAGCCAGTTCGCGGACATTGTTCTGCTAGCGGATACCTGCAAACAAAGCCGCGCAACATTTTTGAAGAAGTTTGCTTAAACGGGCCCCGTATACAGGACGACACCGACACCCACATGCTGATCGTTGATATAGGAAGTAAGCTCTCACAGCTACGCCAAAGAGAGTGGATGGATAGGCCGCGCAACCTCCGTGACGCCTCTTCGCCCAAGGGGGGGGAGCACCACGCAGCACGCTTCCACCTTCCCCCACATGAATGTACACTGAGCCGTCCACATCGATCCGCCCCGTGGGCCCCGCCTCCTCCTGGTCTTCATCTGTGGCGAAGGTCACGTGGGACTTCACCGTCTTCATCTCGTTCTTCCCGTTTTGACTCGCCAAGCTCTGGAGCTTCTGCACGCCTCTTCAGCTGGCGCTTTTTGCGCTGGCGCAAAAATGCGGGCGACACGAGACGAGACGAAGCTCCTGTGGATGTTGGTGGATGAATGTGCAGAACCACTCAAAGACGGTGCCCAGCAGGTGGCCAGGTGCCCAGGTCCAGAACCGAAGAGAATGTGGGGGTCACGACAAACTAGACCCTCCAAAAATGGCACAAACATGGACTGGCTGGGAAGACCCTTCAAAAAGAATTATATACACCCCGGACGGGGCAGCGGTCGCCGGAGCGGCGAACCGGACCTATGGCCAATGGCCAGCCTCAAACCATGTTCATGGGGAACCAGAGGAAAAGAACAGGACAACCAGAGGACAAGCACCGCCAAAAGCATGGACAGGTGTAGGAAAACAAGAAGAGGATCAGCTGTGAGAGGCCACTCAGCGAACAACCAAAGGACGACCCGGTGACCCACAGTTCACCTGCGCGGTCACCAACTGTGGCCAGTTCGTGTTTTTGCAAGAAAACAACAAAGAGTAAACTGTTTGGGGCAAAACTTCCCAGCAACACCTTTGACGGGCAGCTTAAGCAAACACATATGGTTGATGGGCAAAATCCTGCACCACTGGAAGAACAAACCCATGTATATGCTTGCGCTCCCCCTGTTCAAAAGTTGAATGACCAAAATCCTGCATCACACATGCCAAACATGAGGCAAGATTGAGTTGGGGGGGCCGCGGTGGTCTGCATTATATTAGAGGACCACATGTGTTGCTTTATTGATAAAGGATTTTGTCCATCAACAGGTGAAGGGCGCTTCGTGGGTACCACAACCTCCAAGCATCCTAGATCATCCAGTGGGTCACCAAATTAATATGCGACTTACACGTCACTATTTGAATCATCGGACTCCCATTATATATACTCTGATCCTGTCTGACCTCTCCGCTTCTTCCGCTCCTTCCTTTCGAACCGCCTGGCAATCGGTCGACCGCTCTCTCCCCCGAGAAGACCGAGGAGCCCAGTTCCAAGGCGGGGGCCAAGTGATCAGCCCTGAAGGCCACGGACATCCGGTTCAAGGTCCCCAAGACGCCTCGGCAATCAGACACCGTTCGAACGACCATCTTTCAGTTCGGCTCTTCGAAATTGGAGCGATAGGCCGTGCATAGGCCGTGCATAAGGGATTGAGATGTTTTCCAGTAAATTGTTTCGGTTTTTTTTTCTGGTACTTTTGCACGTTTTTTCTGGGAGTGTTTTACAAGCATCGGGAGCAGCAGAAAGGTCAGGGGACGAAGCAGCAAAGCCAGCGGGAGGGAGAGAGCGAAACAGTGACAAATGGAGGGAGCAGAAAAGGCACCCCCACTTAACGAAGGAGAAGGAGCAGTGAGGAAAGTGGAGAAAGGAACTATAATAGGGACTTCTTTGCGGTTGTTTTCTGGTTTCGAGTCTCTTAGGAGTTCTTCGATTTTCCCCTCTAAATGTTAACCTTGGGTTGTTACCAACAAAAAAACATGCACCTTTGGAATGGCATCTTCCTCCAAAGGCAAGAAGGTGCCCTCTAAATTAGACTCTCGGGTGGTTCAGAAAAGGCATGCGCCTTTGGACTGGCACCTTCCTCCTCTAAATTTTGCCCTCGGGTGGCTCGCAAAAGGCATCCACCGTTGGAATGGCACCTTCCTCCTCGTCTAAGTTTTACCTTCGGGTGTCTGCCGTTTGACTGGCACTTTCCTCCTCTAAGTGTTACCTTGAGGTGGCTCACAGAAGGCACGCACCGCAGGAATGGCACCTTCCTCCTCCACATCTATTCTCGGGTGCCTCATGCACCGTTGGAATGGCACCTTCCTTTTTTACATTTTACCCTCGGGTGGCTCGTTGGAGTGACACGGGTGGTTCGCAAAAGGATGCAAAAGGTATGCACCGTTCGAGTGGGACACAAAAGGTTTGCACTGTTGGACTGGCACCTTCCTCCTCTAGACTTTACGGGCAGCGTTGGAAGCTGGCTACTTGCAGCAGCACAGGATCTCTACTGCAACCAGCGTAGTATTGGAAGCTGGCCACTTGCAGCAACACACCCTCGGTAGACCCGGTAGACCCTGGCCACAGCAAGCAGCGCAGCCAGCAGCGCAGTAAACAGGGCCGCCTTTTGCAGCAGCACTTGCAGCGCTTCAAGCTGCCTATTTGCAATTGCAAAAGCAGAAGCAAGAGCAAATGCAGAAGCAGAACCAAAAGCAAGAGCAAGAGCAAGTGCAAAAGCAGCAGCAAAACCCGAAGCAGAAGCAGGAGCAAAGGCAAGAGCAGAAGCAAAAACAAAAGCAGAACGCAAAAGCAGAAGCAAAAGAAGAAGCAAAAAACAAAAGCAAAGGCAGAAGCAAAAAGCAAAAGCAGAGTGCGTGTGTGAGTGAGAGTGAGAGTGTGGATGAGAGTGAGTGTGAGTGAGAGTGAGTGAGTGTGAGTGTGAGTGAGAGTGAGTGTGTGAATGTGAGTGTGAATGTGAGTGATGAGTGGGCGTGAGTGTGAGCGTGTGTGACTGAGTGAGAGTGAGGGTGAGAGTGAGAGTGAGAGAGTGAGCATCTGAGAGCACAAAGTCTTCGAGGTTCACCAAGTGCTGCGCCTGCCACGAAATCTGCACTTCGAGGTTCACCAAGTGCTGCGCCTGCATCTGCACCTCGAGGTTCACAAAGTGCTGTGCCTGCCACGAAATCTGCACTTCGAGCTTCACAAGGTGCTGTGCCTGTCACGAAAGTGCTATACCTGCCACGAAAACTGCAACGAGCCAGAGGTCGAAAAGCAACGATTCACAGTACCTGTCACGAAATCAGAGCTCGTCGAAGATCACCACCATGTCCAAAGTGCTGCACCTGCCACGAAATCTGCAGTTCGAAGTCAAGCCGCTCCGATTCCCCTGCGCCTGTCACGAAAAGTCGACTTTGAATCACGAAAGCACGAGGTTTCTCTTGCGCCTGCCACGAAAAAGTCACCACCATGTGCGAAAATGCGCACGGAACCACAACGAGAGCGCAGTCGTTAGAAGCACCCGCCGCGGACACCCAGATTCAGCGAGCCGAAATGCATGTGGACGATTTCAAGAGATATGAATGTGCTGTAAATAGCAACGAATTAGCCGGTCACGGCCGCGCGCCCCAGCGATCTAAGCACAGCTGCTTTTCCACTACCGTAAGAACCCCTTAATGTGTCCACACTGTTTTGGGAAAAACGAAAAAAAACAGAAATACCGGTTCCGTGCATAAGCTTCCGAAGGGAGGAAACGAATGAACGGCACCGGTGGCGGTGGAAAGCGGGTGGAAAAACGGGTGGAAGCTGAGGTGAGGTAGAAGAGAGCTGCACCTGAGGGAGGTATATGTACTTGGCATGTCACCAGGATGTACGTGGATCCTTAGGAGGCTGTAGGTGTATGGTAGGTAATATCGTATTCTCTGGAGTGCAATCTTTTTGTTCTCGGCCACTTAAAGGTGGACCCCTGAAGAGTCTTTATTCATTCAGATACCCATGAGCTAGCAAGTCCCGTTCTGGGAGTTTGTTCAGCGGGCCTTTGGAGATCCACGCGTAGTTGAAAAGCCCGGATGAAGTCCACAGCAATCTGAGAGCTCCCCTGTTCGAAATATGATATACAGTAAACCAGCACCCTCCAACAGGTCACCAATTGAAACTTGTTAGGGCCCTTCCCAACCCTCCAGAGGAGACCTGTTGGAGGGTGCTGGAATATAGTTAAATGATATTAAATGTGATTCAAATGTAGCTCTGCTTGACAAGCCTCACATAGATTCGCAATCCGAGGACCCACCTATGAAGTCAGATAGATATCATGTCTTAAAAGGGAAACTATCTTCCTAAGATCGTTTGGGTGTGCCACAACCATTTCATTATCTACACTCTACTACTACACTGTGCTGTACTCGATTCTTTCGAAAACGCACGGATGGACTCTGGAGATATTCTATGATAGGTTTATGAGTTCAACACCGCAACAGACCCAGCCCAATGAGGAAACTCCGGATCTGGTGAGGAAATTGGATGAAGAATGATGAAGGCCTGTACAAAGGGTACTGTAAACTGGGCACAAGCTGCCAGTCCCTAAAGGATGAACCTCCAAAAAATCTCCAAAAAAAACCTCTCGATCGGGTTGAACACCCTGGTCCCCGACTTCCCACCCCTCAAACCGACGTTTCGTTTCGTTTCGCGCGCCTCGTTCGCGGATGGACCGGCGAGTCAGTGACTTGGTCTGCTTCTCCGTGGTGTCTCGGACCACCACCAGCTTCGGCTTGTCCTTGACCTCGCGGAGTGAGCTGTTCGAACGAACTGGTCGACAGGGCTGCCCAAGATGGAGGAGGATAAACCCCCTGATGATTCCTTCCCTCCTCCTAACCCACGAGCACCACTCCAAAGGGTGTTTGCTTCGAATCCCTAAAAATGCCGTGAGGAGTGTGCTTTGGACAGCAAGGGGCTAGTCTACAGGCATCCCTAACTCACCTGGAATATTACGATCTGCGTGGTGATTTGGACAAACCTCAGAATATGCATTCTTTTTGCTTTTTTGGAGAATCATTCACCCCAGAAGTACAGAAACGTGCTAAATCATACTAAATCCGTAAGTTTATATGTAAGTCTCCAAACTACCAAAGCATCCAGGTTGTAGGTGTTCCACAAGGTCGCAGCATGTGAATTCAGTCTGCGGCCCGAACCGGCTCCAAACACGCCAAACACCCATCCCAGCCCCCAGCGGCGCTGGTTTCGCCCGATCCTTCCGGTACACGAGCCACCGGACTGAGTTCGCAAGTTCGGTGTGCTTCAAGAATCGCCATGTGCTTCTAGGCCCTACCCCCGGACTGGACTGGACTCACTGGATTTTCCTATAGATCCCCCCCCCTATCCCTCCCACCGTCTCGACCTCACACCGCCTGAGACCTGAGACCGTACCGACCTCCCTCCGACCGCCGGCAGCCAAAACCCGCCTTGCCCACCTCGATGATGAGATCACGAAAGTGATGCGTGTGTGGCACTGCCAGATCAAAGTCGAAGGACTCGTGGCTTTCGCCTCGAGTGGAGGAGAGAGGGACTGGAACCGATGTTGAGGGATGTGATCCGTGGGAAGGGACATCCGTGGGGGCAGCCCCCGGTTCGGAAAGGGTCGCAGCCAGCTGAGAGGAGGGAGCAGATCTTCTTCCAACGTCGTGACTGTTCCAACCAGGATTTGTTGTGAGAATGATCTCCAAAACCAGGCGCCGTTCATCAGTGTTCACCAGTTTGCTAGGACGGCCAACATCTCAGGAGCGGGACCGTCCCACTCCCGCCTTCCCCGGGAACGCGCGCGCACGCGCTTTCCGCGCGCGGAACGGCGCAGGTTCGACGGCGCGATTGACGACACGCCTCGCGCGCTGAGGGTCAGAGTCATCCAGGTGTCGCCGCCCCAGAGATGAGAAAAGAAGGGACATTCACCTCGGGTTCGATCAGGTTGTCGGGAGTGAGATGGAGATCGGACATGTGAAGGTCGAGTGAGAAAAGGCCCGGGATCTGGTGTGAGGTGCTCACGGGAAGAAAGCCGATTAGCAAAGTCCCCCTGTCCGCCAAACCCAATGATGTCTGATGATGGTCTCAAACAACTATAGTTGTGAAGGGGGTTCTTTGGACAATGATCATGTGCAACTATGTATAATATATATGATAATATATACTGTAGTTATATAATATAGTTGCTTGGGGATGCAGCAACAAAATATGTCCTTGTCATCCTTTTGTGAGCCAAAGCCTCATGAAATGACTAACCTGCTGCGACTGCAGAAACCAGGTTTCTTCCGTGCTCAAAAATCGGTGTTCACGCCCCTTAAAGACCCCTTCAAACTCTCAAGTCTTGAAAAGGCCAACATGTTACACACCGTTAATGACATACCCCCAAAAATCCATGTGGGTCATTCCACTCTACAAGCAGTTTCCCCGCGAAACGCGGTCCACCCTATGCACCGGAGGTTTCCACCAAGCATCCGTCGCCCTTCTGCAAGTGCATCACCCAACCTGTGGCATTCTTCGGCGCAAAGCGACCTGCAGGGGAGGGGCGTCACGGGGTTGGTCGGGCGGCCAATTGCTGTGAAGAAGGATATCGATAAAGAAAGTGACCAACGACCGGGGTTCCACATACGGTTCAGCCAGATGTACCCAGAAGCTCCAATGACTCGTGTTGCACCATTTTACCCCACCTGGTCCACCACTGGTTAGGGGATAGGATGAGTGGAGCGAGAAAAAAGACATTGACAACCTGATGATTGGACCTTGAGATCAGGTCCAAGCTCCCCGGCCCGACCCTTTGACCCTTTGAACCCATGTTTGTTTGAGGCACAACGCGCGCGCGCGCGCACGCGCTGATGGTCCGAAACATGGAGGTCATCCGTCTAAAATGGGTGTCCTGTCCTGTCTGGTCCATGATGTAGAGCAAAGGAGTCTAGCCTGGTGACCCGGAAGATGATTCACACGTATAGTCTTTATGTCATGGTTAACAGAACCAATCAGTTGAATAGTAAATGCATTTGCAGCCGTCCAACATCTCCCACCAGGGCGGAAGTCACCCGTTTGTTACCCCTTTCTTTGATACCAGCATGTCTCTTTTATGGCACCGAGCAACCAAAAAACCACTACCTTCGCACTGCTATGTCTGTTCTATGTCTGTTGAGTAGTACACTTCAGCGTACTACTTCAGCGTATTTCCTCCTTTTTTCAAGAGGTGCATCTACCCAAAACGCTCCATTCACAGGCACCCAAACCGAATTCGTTCGGGTCTGGAGCTCCGGAGCTCCTCCCTTTCTGAGGGTCTTACTAAGGAAGGTAAGCCTGAACTAGGACTCAATAGTGGTACATATGGGATGCGCGCCATCTAGGGGCTGTTCAACCTCTCTTGGTCTGGGAAGATCCAGTCCGGAGGACCTCTTGAAAGGCCTTCAAGGCCTCCCCCGACGTCAGACGCCACTCCGAGCGGCACTTCTCGCTGGACTTGTTCTCGATGAGGAACGGGTCCTGGACCCGACCCCAAAGGAGACTCCAGCGGTGTGGACTTCAGGCAAAACGAAGATGTGGACTTCAGCTGCGAACGCAACTGGGACTGACTGGGACTGGATCAATTGATGCATGGACTGGTCCTCATCCTACAGAAGCACGTCCTAATCCAATATCGAATCCAGGACTTCTCTCAGCGACATGACTTCTCTCAGGAGTCACAAAGGAGTGGTTCATGGACACCCCGAATCACCTCTTTTTGCTATCAATAGACACCCCAAACCGGGTGTCCTGGTATTTTTCCTACAAAAAAGCATAGGAATCTCACCATCTCAAGCCGTGTCACGTCTGTCACCTGAAAAGACTGGTCTATGGAACCCGTCGCCTATTTCAATATTCACCCTTAGCTTTCAAAGACCTCCAAAAGAATTATTTACCTGGTTTTGGTAGTGCAACATCGTCAAACCATGGTTCTTTGGGATTCAGACCTAACAAAATTACTGGTTCTTGGAATCCCTATAAGGGCACCCACCCACATCCCACAAACCCCTCTCCTGCTTGCAGGCCGACAGCGTGAGCCGTAGGAATCCGCTGAGCTCGTCGCGTGCCACGGAGACCTCCACCGTGTCCGCCTCACCTGGCGACGGCGGTACCGTGGTGGGAGGATAAAGACGCGGTGGGAAGCCCAAAGCGCTCCATTCACAGCCCCATCATGATCATCATGCCTTGGCTCCAAACCCTTTGGGAAGAAAATTGAATGCCTGGCCGAAACCCGACGCCAACCTGCCCACAACCTGCAGGTGAGGGGCCTCCACCAATGATGTCCTTCTGGGAATAATATCGGGATCAGTTTAAGACCATATACCTCGGGTGTATCCCATTCCTTGTAACAGTGCATGACGACGACTACGACGACGACGGACGACGAAGACGACGACGATGACGATGATGATGGTTGGTGAAGGCCTTTCTCAAAAATCGTGATAACCTCTTATCGACTGTTACAGGTCAGGGGACACACACACACTACTATAATTATATACCTATTGCTTGGACACAACCAACGCGGTCTCCGCTCCATTCATCCACGCACCCAGGCCGTGGTGAAACACGGCCTAGCCCGCCTCCACAGCGCTGGCGGAAGAAGCCCCGGTAAGTGGTCATGCTCTCGGACAACGTCAGTGGCTGCGACCACTCGAAGGAATTGCCTAGGGCAGGGCGGCAGGGGCCATTCGGACCGTCGTGTGGAACAAAAACACCCCAACCAAATCCACCGAAGAAAGGGGCCGCCAACAATTTGGAACACTGAAATCCTGGCTGTCACCTCAACAAACTGTTAGGTCATGTCTATAGGTCCTATTTTTGAAACCCCCCCAAAGAAGGGGAGGTCAAGCTTGTGTCCAACTCAACGCACAAAAAAACATACCAGCACCTTCATGTCGGGGTCACCTGGCTGGTTTCGCCCTAGCCCACTACTATCACCTCCAGACACTTGTCCACCCCTGTCAAGAAGGTCCAGGTAGCGGTGTAGCCCATCCCGGCACGCCCCCTCTCCGCTCGGAGCGCCGCTCCGCGCGTAACGCGCGGGCCGAGGCCTTTGGCGTCCACGCCCGAGCGCTTCATCTGGAAGAGCATCTCGTTCCTGGCGAGAACAGCAACGACCGACCAGGGAGAGGGTTTTCAACCGGCCCCTAAGTGCCACACTCTCCCAGCATACGATTGGTGTTCTCTTTCAAGACTGGAGGGCCTCCAAGGGGTGGATATGGAGGCCTGCTTGCAGGTCGCACCGATGTAGAAACCGGTGCCAGGTGGCTTGGCTTCGCCCGCCTGTTTACACGCGGACCACCCAGGGAGCAGGGAGCTGAATACTCCATCTGTCCATTCCCATTCAGGCTCTGATTCTGAAGCAGGGTCATGGTCCGTTTTCTGTCGGGACTATAGCACCAGAAAAGAACCACCCTAATGCAATGGCCTAAGGACCCAGGAACCCGCAGGGTTAAATGTTCAAATATGATATAATATATTGATATATATTATATATATATCATCCATAAACAAAGTCCATATTGGGGATGGTCATGGTCGGGTCCCCTTGCCCTCTACAATCCTCTACAGGCTAAAGGAACCAGGGGGGCTGACCCACACCATGGATTGTGTCAAATCCCACCTATGTTTCTCTGTTCACCAATGGGTTTGCATGGCACCCGATTTTGGAATCTGCAGAAGCGTTTTGGATGCCAACTCTGTCTGTGAACTACGTAGTGGCTTAGGTGTGGAGTATCAATAGGCGCCTGTTCAAGCCTGACTCCCTTTAGGGTAGGCAACCCAGCAGTTCGAGCTCAAAGCGCCAGCAGCTGTCCAATTTGGCCAAGCGTCTTAGAGCTTGGCCACAAGTCCACTTCCTCTTCCAGATCAATCGTCTGACCTGGCTGTCAGCGAGATCGACATGGTTTCTGTCGCGAAGGGCCCGGGAGTTGAGGGTGGACACTCCACCGAGCGAGTGAGTCAGCCCGGTGGACCTAGTTCCAGGGCTGGAGGAGGTGCAAACAGTCGGCCCCTAGACAACCTTAGACTGGCTGGTTTGGCACGAAGTGCATACACCTTGCAATGAATCGTGACCTGATGCTACCTCCAATGTTGGAGACCCTAAAATCAGCCAAGCCCTCCGCGAGGTGGTCTCAAGTGCTGACCTCGTGCGGTTACTGTACATCTGAATCGACTGGGAAGACGACATCCCCATTCAGTTCGCAGCCGACTCAGACCAATTGAGACCCTCTCAGCTTGACCTCCTGAGCATGAGACTGGCGTGTAAAAAAAACAATCCGTTGGGGGTGGTTGAAAAAGGTATTAACGTAGTGTATATCGTAGTATTATATATATATATATTTATATTTATATGTATTATGATCATAAGACCAAATTACATAACTATCCCATGCATGAAGGGCCGTTCACCAGGAGAGGCCGGACCCCTGTTGCAGTCCGGGCCCCGCCTGCATCGGAGGAATCCGCACGCACGGTCACAGGCCACTTGGTTTCATTACCTGTGAGGGCAGTGACATGTGACCCATGTGGGTTTGTGGGCGTCGCAGGTTGGTTTGTGGGTTCAATAAAACATATAGAAATAATTAGAACAATCACAGTGGTTGGGATGAATCATTTCAGGAAGAGGTGAAACCACAAGTCTGGTTGAAACCACATGTCACCAGATTGTTAATGTAGAGATCAAAAGGCAAAAAATGAATCAAAAAACAACAATATTTCAGGGGATCAAGAAAATCAAAACTGAATCAAAAAAACAAACGGAGCCACGCATGCGAAGGGAAGAGCAATAGTCCAGACGATGCAGTGATCAAAAGGTTTTTAAAAACAAGATGGAACAACGAGCCCGAATGCAAACACGTTCGAAAAACTACATATGTCCAAATGACACTCTTGTAGGACACTCTTGTGGGACACTCTTCTGGGACACTCTTGTAGGACACTCTTGTAGGACACTCTTGTGGGTCACTCTTGTAGGAAACTCTTGTGGGACACTCTTGTAGGACACTCTTGTGGGTCACTCTTGTAGGACACTCTTGTGGGTCACTCTTGTGGGACACTCTTATAGGACACTCTTGTAGGAAACTCTTGTGGGACACTCTTGTAGGACACTCTTGCGCGACACCCTTGTAGGACCCTCTTGTAGGACACTCTTGTGGGACACTCTTGTAGGACACTCTTGTGGGACACTCTTGTGAGACACTCTTGTAGGACACTCTTGTGGGTCACTTGCAGGACACTCTTAAGGGACACTCTTGTGAGACACTCTTGAGCGACACTGTTCCGGGACACTCTTGTGGGACGTTTTTGTGGGACACTCTTGTGGGACACTCTTGTAGGACACTCTTGTGGGACAGTCTTGTAGGACACTCTTGTAGGACACTCTTGTGAGACACTCTTGTGGGACACTCTTGTAGGACACTCTTGTAGGAAACTCTTGTGGGACACTCTTGTGGGACGCTCTTGTGGGACACTCTTATAGGCGGACACTCTTGTGGGACACTCTTGTGGGACACTCTTGTAGGACACTCTTGTAGGACACTCTTGTAGGACACTCTTGTGGGCCACTCTTGTAGGACACTCTTGTAGGACACTCTTGTGGGACACTCTTATAGGACACTCTTGTGGGACACTCTTGTGGGATACTCTTGTAGGACACTCTTGTGGGACACTCTTGTAGGACACTCTTGTGGGACACTCTTCTGGGACACTCTTGTAGGACACTCTTGTAGGACACTCTTGTGGGTCACTCTTGTAGGACACTCTGGTGGGACACTCTTGTAGGACACTCTTGTGGGACACTCTTATAGTGCACTCTTGTGGGACACTCTTGTGGGACACTCTTGTAGGACACTCTTGTGGGACACTCTTGTGGGACACTCCTGTGGGACACTCTTGTAGGACACTCTTGTGGGACACTGTTGTAGGACACTCTTGTGGGACACTCTTGTGAGACACTCTTGTGGGACACTCTTGTGGGTCACTTGCAGGACCCTCTTGTGGGACACTCTTGTAGGACACTCTTGTAGGACACTCTTTTGTGGGACACTCTTGTGGGACACTCTTGTAGGACACTCTTGTGGGATACTCTTGTCGGACACTCTTAAGGGACACTCTTGTGAGACACTCTTGAGCGACACTGTTGCGGGACACTCTTGTGGGGCATTTTTGTGGGACACTCTTGTGGGACACTCTTGTAGGACACTCTTGTGGGACAGTCTTGTAGGACACTCTTGTGGGACAGTCTTGTGGGACACTCTTGTGGGACACCCTTGTGGGACACTCTTTTGGGACACTCTTGTGGGACACCCTTGTGCGACACGCTTGTAGGACACTCTTGTAGGACACTCTTGTGGGTCACTCTTCACGGAAACTCTACGGAAACTCTTGTGGGACACTCTTGTAGGACACTCTTGTGGGACACTCTTATAGGACACTCTTGTGGGACACTCTTGTAGGACACTCTTGTGGTACACTCTTGTAGGACACTCTCGTGGGACACTCTTCTGGGACCCTCTTGTAGGACACTCTTGTAGGACACTCTTGTGGGTCACTCTTGTAGGACACTCTTGTGGGACACTCTTGTGGGACACTCTTGTGGGACACTCTTGTAGGACACTCTTGTGGGACACTCTTGTAGGACACTCTTGTGGGACACTCTTGTGAGACACTCTTGTGGGACACTCTTGTGTGTCACTTGCAGGACACTCTTGTGGGACACTTTTGTAGGAAACTCTTGTATATCATACAATATCATCTCATGTGAGCTTCAACAAAATTTGCACCACACCACACACGTTTGGAATGATTTCAACCCGTTCTGAGCACACTCCCATTCACCAAAATCGCCATTTCAGCTGCGACTTGTCACGAAAACCGAGCTTCGATGCCACACCCTGAAACGCAAATCCCAATGGCAAGGCCACATCCAACACCCCAAAAACACGACTCTCCAAACGCTAATCCTAATGGAACTGCACAGCAATCTGCGGATCTCACAAAACGCTGCGCCTGTGCAGCGAAATGCATCACGTTTCTTGCGCGACATGTCATTGTCATGCAATACAATGGAATAGCGGCGCAAACTGACACGTGACACATCCATGAAAAGTCACTTGCAAAAGCTTCCCCCAATGGCAGCAAATTTGAGACGCGACGATGACGACAAACGACGACAGACGACGAGAGACGACGACACGACGCACGCCACGCAAACATAGCTCCAACCCCCAGACCCCCAACTATAAACGGGAACCCTTCGCTACGCATTCGGGAAAAACACATCAAAACAACAAACAGGAAAGCAACATATATATATGTTTATACAAAACCCTTATATATGTGTATATATCCATATGTATACACACATATAGATATATCTATAGAATCACAGAGTCGAGACATATATTTGTGGGTTTAACCAAAGTATTCTGCACTTGCAACAGTATTACAATTAGTCCAATATATTGTATTTTATTGATATCTGCACACTTATGCACACTTGCTACCACCCGCCCGGATCTGCACCAAAGGCTGCTTTGCTTTCCAGAAGCCTTCAGCATTCTCATTTGAATCTATATCTCCCTCTCTCTCTCTCTCTCTTTCTCTCGCACACACGCACACACTCTACTTCAGCAGCAGCACAGTGCTGACGACACTGGCCTGCAGGCAGCACAGCTTTGCAAGCTGGCCACCTGCAGCACCTTCGTTCCTTCCTTCCTTCCTTCCTTCCTTCCGCTTCCTTCCTTCCGCTTCCTTCCTTCCGCTTCCTTCCTTCCTTCCTTCCTTCCCAAAGCTACGCCCAAAAAATACTATGTACAATTTAAAATGATTTTACCACAAACATATAACCCCGATATCAGTGAACGAAGCCACGAAAAGCCAACAGAAGCCAACCGAAGCCACGAAAAGCCAACAAAAGCAACCGAAAGCCAAAGCCACCAAAAGCCAAAAGCCACTAAAAGCCACCTCAAGCGAAAAGCCACAGACCGTCAGCCTTCCTTCCTGCCCTCCTTCCTTTCTCCCTTCCATACTGCTTTCCTGCCTTCCTGCCTACCTTCCTTCCTACCTTCCTTCCTTCCTTCCTTCCTTTCTTCGCTTCTTTCTATGTGTTTTTTTGATGCCTGTTGTTTTCTTTTTGATGCATTTTGTATAATTGATTGAGACATTTTTGTGTTTTTGTTGATGCGTCTCCCATTGTTGATCCACCGACATCCTCGCAATTAACCCGAAGATGGAGCCTTGGAGGATGACCTTCGCTGACAGGCAAGGTCCATCACATGTAAAATTTGACAAGTCCATGCCAATCCGAGAGTTGAGCACTACGTCATGGTCCATCAAGCGCATCAAGGGGTTGGGCGCTCTTTTTTTCCATGTCGTGAGTCGTGATTGCTTTTTCTTATCAACCTTCTCTAACCCCTTCCGGAGGTCTCGGTCTCACCGAGAGTCTCACTATCCTCGTCTTCCAACCCACGGCTCTGGCTCTGGCACCGCCGAGCCCCCGAACTCTTCACGTGCCCGAGCGACTCACGCGGACCCACGGAAAGATGTGCACTTCCAGGCTCCCTTGATGCACGCTGGTCCTCACCTGCCCGCGACAGCCCGTGTCTCGGCTCGGCCCGGTGTCTCGGCCGTCGGCCGTGGTGTTCATGCTGGTTCCCTGCTCCAAGCCGAGGCCCGGCCCAAACGCAGCGTCGCCCCGTCCGGAAACCCATCTCCTGGTCCCGTTCGACTCGCGCGGCGAGTCCGGCGAGTCGGTGGCATGGCTCCTTCTTTGGGGTATAGGGAGTGTGTGGATGTGGATGATGTTGTGTGCTGATCCTGGCCCAACAACTCCATGTTTGATCTAAATGGATTATAAATAAAATGGAGTTTTGATGAGTCGGGTGGAGATGTAGGGAAAGTGAAGAAGGAGACATCACAATCAAAAACAAGATCAGTCGCCGTCGCTGCTTTGTTCCTGTCACCTCAAGGAAAGTTTATTTGTTCCATTCTCAAGTGTTGAAAAGTTCCAATCACTTTGGGACCTGTCCATGCCCTTTCCATTGTCTCGAGACCTAAACCCATTTCTTCAGACCTGCTGCCTTGCCACAACGAAACCCTCGCCAAAACCCCCCGGTCGATCAATCACGCGGACCCGACGAGCGGCCTTGTAGAGGTCCGGCGGCTTGTGCTGCATGGTGATCATGGAGGTCATTCGACGCGTCACTCGACTCACACGCTTCGACACGGCGCCACTCATCCGGCTGTTCGCGCGGAAGGTAAAGGAGTGCGATTGAGACTGCGGAAACCTCGGGTCGCAAGTCCGAAGCATTGACGCTGGGCTGGGTCTTGGGGCGAGGGAGTCAAGGCCTGGAGGTTCAAGGCCTGAATACATTCAGATGATGCTGAGACTGATGCTGAGGTTTCTGCACCTGAATTCAGGGGTCACCTGGCTGGAAGACCCTACACTACTGGATCTTCAGACTGGACACCCCGAAGGGACGGTCCAGACATTCACAACCATTGACCTACTAAGATATCTAAGGGATGCTAAGAGCATCTCCACTTTCTGGCCCTCTTAGAGCCAATATGTAGACTAGACGAGTAACTTCGCTTTCCATCTTGGAAACACGCCAGCCCTTTCGGGGAGTGAAGTTTCACCCCAACAAGAACCGAACTCGTGCCCCAAGCAACTCCAGATGCTGGTGTTCGCGCACCTGTGCGATGTCGTAACCTGAGGCGTGTGGCTTCGGTCGCGGACGGAGGGTGAAAGAGAAGGATAGACATGGGGCGGTAGTGGTGAGAGGGGTAGTGGTGAGCTCATGGACTACCGAGCACCCGAAGAACGTCCACCAAAAGAAAGTCCTCTTGGCAACCAATCGGCTACAAGCAGTGAATTCTGAGGAAAGGCGTTTGGGAGCCTTCAGCATGGCTTCAACGGGCCACTGCCATCCGAAACATGCGAAACAACTTTAAAATATGATACCATCTTAATAGACCCAAAACAATCCAAAAAAGCACCGAACCTTAACGGAAGTATTTGGAGCCCTACAAGCTCCAAGACGCAAGGATCGATTCCGTCCCGCCGTGAATGGAAGGATGGAAATGGACGATCCTCGAATTTGCCTGGCCTGACCCAAGGATCAGATTCCAGTCATGCATGCAAATCAAGACGAATCGAGACTCTCTCAACAGGTTTACCCAACCCCCTCTGTAGGTGTATAGGTGGTAATCGATTGACAGACCGTGATTGAAGTCTTATATGAGATTGGCAAAGGGCAAACAAAGGGAGAAAACATGCATGTCTTAATATCTTAATCTTAGCTTATCATCTGGGCGAGCTCATTTTATGCCCCTTTAATGACTTTCCCGGTTTGATCTCATCGGGGAAGATTCCCACCCAGTTGGCTTCTAGACGGCCCACTCTAGCATCCCATCTTTACAAAGGCCCATCGTGACATGGATTCTGCATCTCAAAGAAACAGGACCCCACGCCACCACACGTCACCACGCGTCACCAGCCCCTGGGGCTGTGGGCCCAAAATCTGTCACACTCAGTTCGAGTTTATGTGTATAGAGAGAGAGAGAGACTCTTGATAAATAGCCCCCCATTTGGATGCTCTTCAGGCCTGGGAGGGCATTGAGTTGATCAAGAGTCTACTCACCCTCACCCCCCGCACGTTGGCCCGCGGCACGGTGCGTGGGGACCCGGTAGAGCTCTTCTTCTGACACCTCAGCGCACCCAGACATGGCCGGGCCAAGCAAAGATGGTTTTGGGATGTTTAGGGAACATTTAGGGCCAGCAAAAGGGGAGGATCTGTGAACAAACGGCCACCTGGGAAGATTCCTCCACTTCCACTCACAGGCAACTTGTTGGAGTTTGGTGAGAGGCAGAGACTTGCTGGGTGCAGATAGGTCGGGCACAGCGTGTTCAGGTAAGTTCACACGCTGTAAGTCTGAAAAAAAAACATGGGTTGCCAGAAGAGCTGTGACCCAAAAAGCTGAACCCTCCGTCGCGTCGTGACTTCTCGTGATCCCTCGCTCGCGACGACGGAGCGACCGCTCGCTCCGACCGCTGAGGCGCCACTTCGTCGACCACCGCGCCCAACAGGAGCGCCGGTGCGCTGGAGGAGACCTGGAGTGGCGGATCGAGGGTGCACCTGCCACCGGGCTGAGGATGGTACGGGTACGGGGCGTAAGGGGTTTTGGCTGGTAGATGATGGCCATGGGGGGAGGGCAATCTCTTAGGGTTCTCATGTTCCAAACGCTTGGGATGCAAATTTAGAATTTTTAGGTAATGGAGACCGTTAGTGGGGGTTACCAAACATAGCCCACAGCAACCAGAAATTTCCCAAGAGAAACATATGGAGACACCCAGGCAAAATCCGACAAACTCTGAGTATAGTTGGTGTTTAAATAGTTCTGATCGTCGAAATCCCAAATTGTCTAGATACTGTACCTGGACCAGCTGAAATACTCATGGACCTGCAGCTGAAATGTTCATCATCCATAAATTGGCATCACAATATCATGACACTGTCTATGAACCAGTCCCCTTTGAGCCCTTGATCCTCAACATCCAAACTCACCAGAGGTGGCTTGCTCTCTTAGGCCTTACAGCCCGCCCACAGGCACCTGAGGCATGCAGGCGACTACGCTCTGAATCCGACCTCTGCCAGCCCCTATCCCCTCTCCTCCGCCCAGGCACGTTCTCCGACGCAGCCGTGCGGAAGGAGGGCGGGCTGTACCAGGCGAAGTTCAACACGCCCTCCGGTGGCAAGTAGAACAACGGCGCCGAAGGGTGGTCCTCGCGCCGGCGGAAACGGACTGCTCCACCGGGATCGTTGTGGCTGTGGTTGTTTCTGTGTTGTCCACGGTTCTTCCACGGTTCTGGAAAAAAAACATCATCAAGGGGTTGCAACAGGCTTTATGCCAGTCGGCCAGACTGTTTCATGTGTTCTTTCAGAGTCCGCCCGGCTTTGTGGACTCTTCCACCCCTCACACCATCGAGCTTGTGGTCGCACCGTGCCCTCAAAGGCCTCGTGGTTCGGTCCAGGCACTACCACCGCCCACGAGGGTCGACGGTCCAAGCCTTTTGGGTACCACAAAGAGGATGAAGAACGACTCAGAACCACCATGCCACACTCAGACTCCATTGAGACTCCCCCCCCAAGTCACAAGACTGGCGCGCTCCTGGCGGAAACAAACGCTGCTCCGGGCGCGGTTCACCATGCGGAACTGCGGCTTTGGAGGATCCAGGAACCGCAAGATCAGCGCCGAGGAGACCTGCGGAGCAAGGCAGGTCACTCGTTTCGCCCCCTTCCCCCCCGGGGTTATACACCGAAACATACCAAAACCAACCGCCAAGGAGTCAACCATATAACACATGCCACTCGCACAGACTACTGAGACTACTGTACATATTGCACACGGAAACCCAGCATGTTTGGTCCTCATGGCCATGCTCCAAACTCGCGTGAGGGTCTTCTTTGGCTCCGTCCGCCGGACCCCCCTTCGGTCCATCGGACGCCTCGAGGGCTTCCACGACCAAGAGTCCCCAGCGCGTGCCGCTGAAGGCCTCGCGTGTCCGGTCGCCGCGCGTGCCGGGTCACCGCGAAGAGGAGGTCCACTAAGGTTGCAAAAAGCAACGATACATGATCCTGTGTGAAAGTACCGGTGTACCTTAAGCTCAAGCTCTCAGATTCAGAGTTTATGCGGTAGGGGATAACACATGTGTGTATTTGTAATAGGGAGGCACCCAGCCAATGGGCCCCGTGCCCTGGTTTCCTTCTTCTGGGTCTGGGGTCTTTGGGAGGGTCTCCCTATAAACACAACCACATGCCAGCACCTTCCTTTCGGGGTCTCCAATGGACTACCCTGCACATGCATCATTACAGTACCAGTAGCTGTGGATCTCCATTGAAGACCCCTTTGAAGGTCCAGGCAACAAGACCAGACCATTCTCCACTGAAAGAATTGAACTGCATTGAAGACTAGACTCTAGACTTCTTCCAGATTTATATATGATGGATTTCAAATCGTTCATTTTAGATATTTTAGGAATAAAACGACGTGCTGTTAACATCCTTCATCCCATCCATTTCTTCAAACCACCGCCGTCGTCGTCTCCTTCGGGAACCAACGCCGTGGGGGGCAATGCGTGTTCCTTTTCCATGATCTCACTAGAAAGAAGACCAACACCCAACTCACCCCGCCCTCACCCCACACCCTCCAAAACCCCTCACTCCCCCCCGTCACCGGACCGCCACCGGAAGGCGCCAGCCTTGGAGGAGTCGAGGCTCGCCAAGCTCTGCGTGGAACTCCGCTGTTCCTCCGAGGACACCTGAGCGCGGGGTGGCGAGCTGAGACGAACGATCGGCCAGGCGCGGACCGGGACCGGAAAACGACCAAGACCAAGAGGGGAATGAGCGGAAGGTCTCTTACCGGTCATGTCTTGCGTGATGATCGTCATGTCCTTCTTTGGAAGGAGGCGGGGAACCTCGGAATTCAAAAAAACAAGATGGAACCCACGAACCCGAATGCACACACGTTCGAAAAACTACATATGTCCAAACGACACTCTTGTGGGACACTCTTCTGGGACGCTCTTGTAGGACACTCTTGTAGGACACTCTTGTGGGTCACTCTTGTAGGAAACTCTTGTGGGACACTCTTATAGGACACTCTTTTGTGGGACACTCTTGTGGGACACTCTTGTAGGACACTCTTGTGGGACACTCTTACACGACACTCTTGTAGGACACTCTTGTGGGACACTCTTGTGGGACACTCTTGTAGGAAAGTCTTGCGGGACACTCTTGTAGGACACTCTTGTGGGACACTCTTGTGGGACACTCTTGTGGGACACTCTTGTAGGACACTCTTGTGGGATACTCTTGTCGGACACTCTGAAGGCACACTCTTGTGAGACACTCTTGAGCGACACTGTTGCGGGACACTCTTGTGGGACACTCTTGTGGGACACTCTTGTGGGACACTTTTGTGGGACACTCTTGTGGGATAATCTTGTAGGACACTCTTGTAGGATACTCTTGTGGGACAATCTTGTGTGACACTCTTGTAGGAAACTCTTGTGGGACACTCTTGTGGGACACTCTTGTGGGACCTCTTATAGGACACTCTTGTGGGACACTTTTGTGGGACACTCTTGTAGGACACTCTTGTAGGACACTCTTGTGGGTCACTCTGGTAGGAAACTCTTGTGGGACACTCTTGTAGGACACTCTTGTGGGACACTCTTATAGGACACTCTTGTGGGACACTCTTATAGGACACTCTTGTGGGACACTCTTGTAGGACACTCTTGTGGGACACTCTTGTGGGACACTCTTGTAGGACACTCTTGTAGGACACTCTTGTGGGTCACTCTTGTAGGACACTTGTAGGACACTCTTGTGGGACACTCTTATAGGACACTCTTGTGGGACACTCTTCTGGGACACTCTTGTAGGACACTCTTGTAGTGTGGGTCACTCTTGTAGCAAACTCTTGTCGGACACTCTTGTAGGACACTCTTGTGGGACACTCTTGTGGAACACTCTTGTGGGACACTCTTGTAGGACACTCTTGTGGGACACTCTTGTGGGACACTCTTATAGGACACTCTTGTGGGACACTCTTGTAGGACACTATTGTGGGACACTCTTGCAGGACACTCTTGTGGGACACTCTTGTAGGAAACTCTTGTGGGGCACTCTTGTGGGACACTCTTGTAGGACACTCTTGTGGGACTCTTGTGGGACACTCTTGTAGGACACTCTTGTGGGTCACTCTTGTAGGACACTCTTGTGGGACACTCTTGTAGGACACTCTTGTGGGGCACTCTTATAGGACACTGTTGTGGAACACTCTTGTGGGACACTCTTGTGTGACACTCTTGCAGGACACTCTTGTAGGACACTCTTGTGGGTAACTCTTGTAGGAAACTCTTGTGGGACACTCTTGTGGGACACTCTTGTGGGACACTCTTATAGGACACTCTTGTGGGACAGTCTTGTGGGACACTCTTGTGGGTCACTCTTGTAGGAAACTCTTCACTCTTGTAGGACACTCTTGTGGGATACTCTTATAGGACACTCTTGTCGGACACTCTTCAACTCACAACCTCACGATTCCCTGCGCCTGCCACGAATCTTTCCGCGTCTACACGTCTAACGCGCACAAAGTACTGCGCCTGCCACGAAATGTCACCTCCGTCACACCTCGCAACCTCACCATTCCCTGCGCCTGCCACGAGAATCGCACTTCCACGCCTCAAAACCCGCACAAAGTCCTGCGCCTGCCACGAAAAGTGACAATATCATCTCATGTGAGCTTCAACAAAATTTGCCTCACACCACACGTTTGGAATGATTTCGACCCGTTCTGAGCACACTCCCATCCACCAAAATCGCCATTTCAGCTGAGACTTGTCACGAAAACCGAGCTTCGATGCCACACCCTGAAACGCAAATCCCAATGGCACGGCCACATCCAACACCCCAAAAGCACGACTCTCCAAACGCTAATCCCAATGGAACTGCGCAGCAATCTGCGGATCTCACAAAACGCTGCGCCTGTGCAGCGAAATGCATCACGTTTCTTGCGCGACATGTCATTGTCATGCAAATCACAATGGAATAGTGGCGCAAACTGACACGTGACACATCCATGCAAAGTCACTTGCAAAAGCTTCCCCCAATGGCACCGAATTTGAGACGCAACGACGAGGACAAACGACGACAAACGACGACAGACGACGACAGACGACGACAAACGACGAGAGACGACGAGAGACGACGAGACGACGCAAGCCATGCAAACACAGCTCCAACCCCCAGACCCCCAACTATAAACGGGAACCCTTCGCTACGCATTCGGGAAAAACACTTCTCGGCCAGTCGCCGACACGACGCGCACTTCGGGCTCAGCAAACTGCTGAGCCCGCCTCGGTTGGGGGGGACGTCCATGTCATCGGCTCCGACCGGCACCGACTGGGCACCGATCGACTCAACGAGGTTTCCTACAGCAGCCGGGCGCCCGAAGCAGCTGAAGGCTCCACCGGTCCTCTGGTCATTCACCGTCGCACATCCGAGCGGCCATGTACATCAGCTGGAGCTTTCCTCGCCGACCTGTATCATCACCCGCCAGCTTAAAGAGTTGGCTCAATCCTCGGCACGTTCGACACGCCCTTGCCCTGCACGTTCAGACTGACAGACTGACGGACAAATGAATTGGGTTGGGAAAGTGCGGCAAAGCCCGTCAGTTGGACCTCATTTGACTGGTCAAAAGCACTCTTCAAGCAAGCAAACGCCCTGGACTTAGGCTTCCGGGGGCGGAACTTCTTCATCCAAAAGCACCGCAATCTTCGGTCCAACGGCCCGAAGATACGTCTCGGATCGACCGACTGCTGCGGTGAAAGGGGCTTTGAGCTGGGATCGAAGCACCCAGGAAGAAGACAGCAAGACAGCTGTCGGCGCGCCGCAGCACGGAGTTCGGGTGGTTCTTGAAAGGACTCAATAGATGGTGGGGGGATGTCCATGAAGAACCCTTTCCCTGGTGCTGGGGGAGATGGTTGCTTGATGGTAAAGCCCCAGGGCTCCAACCACCTCCTGAGAAGATGGTTGGGGTGGGTGCACCGAACCTGAGGATATGGGTTTCTGGTCCTTCCTTTGAGAGACGTCTCCGAGGTGGCAGCAGTTGCTGAACATCCGACATCTGACGTCAATGCACCTGGTGACAAGCCAAGGCCTTGAGAGAAGCCTGCACCTTGCGGAAGAAGAGAAGGGGAACACCTCCAAAGCCACTGATCCACCCCCCCGAATATTCCATGGCCTCTTGACCTACCATTTTCAGTGCTCTATGTCTCAGAAAAAATATACTGTACCCTCAAGACCCCAACAGCTCAATTGCCCAAAAGTGGTGATTTGTACCAGGGCCCCCCAAACATTTTGGGGGCGGTGAATGGGTGGTGAATCACCCCACGAGCCTATCACCCCATTCTGGACCCCCATCTAACCCATGGTTTGCCCGGGGGGAACCCCGCCCCACGTGCTTGGCCCAGGCGTCGAAAGCCCGCGGTGAACTCCTTGGGCCCCACTCCGCTGATGTCCTCGGGGTGGGGTGACCCGGGCGCCTTCGACCGTTGACCGGGTGGTGGTTCGGAGTTCGCCCACCACTCCCAGTGAGTGTGGGGGGGATTGAAACACCCAGAGGAACTCCATCCACAAGGATGGTTTCAGAGGTACTTGCTTTGTTGCTTCAAGCAGGCCTATGGTTTCAGAGTAAATGGCACAATCTCCAAGTTTGGTGGTTTATATGGACCCCCATATAAAAGACATCTTGGGGTGCCATCGCCATCTACTGTTGAGGGGCAAACAACATGTCGCAATGCCGTTCAGGCATATTGGGGTCGATGTTCTTCGTCAAGAAGTTCAAGGTCGCGGAGATTCACAGTACCCAGAGACTCCACGTGTGGCATAATATTGACTTATATACATTGGGGTGGTTGAAAGGGGCAGCCTCACCTCCAGGTCGCCTGACAAGCAGCAACTGCGCCCCAGGTTGGAAGGTTCGAAAAAAACGGCCAGAAGCGGATGTAGCTTCCTGACCAGGTGTCCAATCCCTGAAGTAAAAAATGGAAACATCTCCAGCTCAACCCTCCAATTCAATTATATTATCCACATCATCACCACCATCATCCTCGTCCTCCTCAACGACTGACGTCCTCACCCATCGTCCTGCGCACCTCGGGCGTCACTCCAGTCCCACCGGTGACCTTCACCTGCCCAGCTGCCAGGTGAAACTCCGCATCGCCGCCGTGGGGGTGGTAGGCTTGCGGCTTGCCCGGCATCAGGTGCAGGTAGTTGTGGCCATCCGAGACCCAGAGTCGGTGGTTCTTCCTCGAGTCATGTGGCGCGAAAAGAAAAACACATGGAAAAAACAGATATCGAAAAACCTGATTCGATCCATGGATTGTTCCTTATTTACTGGGCGGCCCAGAACCAGGAAACGAAAACAACAATCATAAGCAAAGGCCAAGGGTTCAGGTTCACGAGGGTGTAGCGCCGCGTCACCTGGCACGGACCGCCGACGACGGCGACGACGGCAGACGGGTCAGGCGAGCCGGGAGGCAGCGGTGAGGCAGTGGTGGAAGAGCCCATATTTCAGTGAGCGTGCGTGCGAGCAACCTTAAGTGAAGCAAAAAGGTAGGACTCCTGTGACTCGACCGACTCCTGTCGATCCCCAATCCCCACAAAAATGTCATGGCGTAGATTTCAGAGAGGCACACAGAGGAGCTCAAGCTACATCTCTTTCAGCTTCTTGAAAACGTCTTGCCGTCGTTTTCCAATGCAACACATTCGGTCGATGTTCGTTGCAACAGGGCCCCGGCCTCAACGACTAAGGTCCGGTAGAAGGGGAAGGGCGCCTGGTTGACAGAGAAACCCAAGCACAAGCTGTCAGGGCCATCCTCTACCGCCAAGAAGGGCAGCACACCACCTAGGCTTTGGTCAGAGTAAGTTGAGGAGGTGAGTTGGAACCCGTGGTCAATTTGTGGTCACTGGTCACGGGGGGATTGCCTCCGAGCAGACCGAGAAGAAGGACCTATCACCAGCATGTGTCTGTGTGACTGGGAGGGGCGGATGCAAGGCATGAGGAACGAGAGGACACAACCAAAGGGTCCCCAGATGTCTCCAGGGTCTTGAAATAGATTGAAAAAGGATCCAGTTGCTAGGGAGGGACTTTGAAACCACAGCCACAGCCCACCAGTTTGGCTCACCGGCAAAGGGGGTGGGCATAGTCGCTGTGCTTCGTCTTGGCAAGCGATCGAAGACCGCCCTCGACATCCCACAAAACGAAAGACCCCCAGATTCTCGACTCACACACGAAGCTTCACCCGAATCTATTGTTTTTGAAAAGTCTCATAGAATTGGAGTAAAATCTCCCATCATCTCCGCCCCTCCCCCTCCCCCCCCTAGATGCAGCGGCGGCACCTTTCCTTGGTCTATCCACTTTGATGCTCCCCGTCTTCGAACCCTTCCTCGCTGCACGAGTGCCCACGGCACACGGCACACGTGCGTATTCGGCGAGAGAGCCGGAGAGTTGGGCATGTCATGCGGGTGGGGTGGAAAACGCTTTTCTCCTCTTGTTGGGGAGAAAAAAGTAGTATAATATATATATATATATTACCCTATGCGTCCAAGACTTACTTTGCTTAAGTTCGACTTAGATTTGCAGCCTCGACTTAAAAGTGTACTGTCTAGACATACCGCGACACGATCCCCTTTGGATGGTAGCACGGGGTCTGAAAGCCAGGAATCAACAGTGCATGGAACATAATTACGGTTAAATAAGTTCAACACCGTTGTTGTCAAATGTGTTTTAACTGCTACTGCACATACTGGAGTTATACTGATCGCATGTTTGTATCCGTGACACGTGCGGATCTTCTCGCCCATTCGGACCAAATGAACAGTGGACTGACCATGGACAAACCGTGGAACGACTTGAAAAAGGCATGGAACGACTTAAAAAAGTCGTGGAAAGACTTAAAAGGTCGTGGACACCCACCCCTGAGAATCAACTTAAAACATGTTTTACACAGCACTGTCCACGAAAAAAATCCACACAAAGGATGAACAGATTGGCTTCGTGCCCGGTGAAAGGGTTGGAAAACGGCTTGACGATTTGAGACTATGTACATGCACATGCGAAAACATGGGTTGAAGCTCTATTTGATGATGTTCAGATCACTTCAACATGACATATATATAAGTTCCAGGAAAGGTCAAATACAGTGACTCTTTTTAGGTCTTTCATTCCCAGTTTAAGTCTTTGCTGGAAGACCTCGATTTTCCAAGACTTTGAAAGTTTAGGGTATATATATATATAACACCCCAAGTACCTCAAGCTATCGCAGTTGAGAATTGAGAAAACACTCGCTAAAAAATGAAAGTGTTCTCTTCCATCGTGAAGCAACCCTTCAGAAATACAATCATATACAATCCACATGGTAGATCCTAGTAAAACATGTTTTAGAAATCCTCAAGCTGCCGGCGTCGACCACAGGCTTCCCTGAGGGTCGATCTCAGTTCGAAGCCCACTCAAACTTGATACGAGTAACAGCTCTATAATCTGTATGACATTTTCTGACAAATTTTTCGCAAAAAGAATGCAAAACCGGGTAATTCACCATGGTAAAACCCGCATGTAAAACCCCAAACCATCGCAAACACATCTCCGTTCACATCTCCAAACCGTCCACGGAACCACCCAACGCCGCCCCACAGCACCTCCCTTCCGGCCCGGTCGCTGCGAGGCGAAGAGCGTCTTCCGCCTTCGCACCGTCCGCTGCAGCGACGGCCGCGCGTTGCTCGGCGTGTGGCCCGGCGCCTCGCTCGCCTCCGGCGCGCGGAGGCCAATCTCCAGCGATCCGTCGGCCCTGGCCGCGGGGCCCGAGGTGGCGTGGCGGACGTTAGGGGCGCCCTAAAAAGGGGCCGCCTGTCGTTGTTTTTGTGTGTTCTTGTTCTGAGCTCTTTGGCTGGGAGCTCATGGGCACCCTTGGATTTTTCGTAGAGGTCTTGTTCTTGCTGCATGGTCCCAGGTGTTTTTTCCAGATTACCGTGATAAATGGAGGCTGGGGTGAAAGAAAAAGAAAAAGAGATAGAAAACTGGTGTACTACACCCCAGCCTCCATTTACAGTAGGGGTGTCACTACACCCCTACAGTAGACGTGTCACTCTTCCAAGTCAGATTTCGTAGCAGGAAATCAGAGAGGTTGCAGATTCCGTGGCACAGGAGGGGGGGGGTTGGGGGAGAAGTCACCACGCCCAAAAGAACACACAAACCGTTTTAAGAAGCCACTGGAAGCCAGTCAACTGTAGCCAAAAGCCAAGAGAAGCTACCAAAAGCCAGCATCCAACAGAAGTTACATGAGGCTACCAATAGTCAACAGGAGCCATCAAGATCCAACAAAATCCAAGAGAACCACCGAAAGCAGAACATCAAAAACCAAACCACCTTGCAAACAAACAGCAGTCTAACAAACCAAAAGCCGTAACAAAACCACCCTCAAAGTTCAAAAGCCAAAACCAGCCACCAAAAAGCTAAAGCCAGGGCCAGGTCTAGATGCCCAAAGCCACGGCCAAGGCAGAAGCCACGGAGCCAGGAAAAAGCATTGAAAAAGCTGAAGCCAAATAGAAACCATAAAAGCAAAGCCTGAATCAAAAAAACAATAAATATACCATCATAGTTTCCAAACAAAAATATCCTATTAAAAGATAACAAATGTAGAATGATGCCGCACAGATATACCATGATATACCCTTCCAGGGAAAAGGGTGTGCTCCAAGTGGGGAAGTCATTTCACTTCGTCGGGGGTGGTATGTCCTCCTGTGTGTAGGGCCCCCAAAAGAATGCTACACGGTCAGTATGTCTCTGGCAGTTACCCAGGTTCCAAAGACATCCAAAACGTTCCGAAGCACGTGCCTGCAACTGGTCCGGTCCTCTGCTTCACCACCAAAGACAACACGCGTTGGACAAAGAGAGAAGACACCAAAGACGACGACGCCGCCGGCAGCAGCAACAACAACACCAGCAGCAACCACCAGCAGCAACAGCAACAGCAACAACACCAGCAGCAACAGCAGCAACAACAACACACAAAAAAAGAAGAACAACAAGCACCACGACGCCAACAACGCCAACAACGCCAACACCCTGACTCACGCCAACACCCAAAAATCACCGAAAAGAGATCTCCATGGGACCAAAACCTCCGTTCGCCGGGTCGGTCGGCCCGGCCGGCCCGGGACCGTCGGCCCGGGAGGTGAGACGCGAAAGACGTCTCAAGCCGAGCCGCAGGGCGTGCTGCGACAGGGGTCTCAAGCCTCGCGGTTCCGACGCGGTTCCGACGCGGAAAGAAACGACACGTGCGGAGGACGTACGGCGCGGAGGACGTCGGTGGCACCGCTGAGAAAACCGGTTGAAAGCACCTTCAACAGACCGAGCCCTGTCTCTGACTGGCATACGATGGCATACGTAGAATACGTTGAAGGTTGGGCTGCCCAGCATGGTTGAGGGGAGGGGAGGAGTCAATGGATGGAAATTCAGTGGATCAAGTCCCATGGAGGTCTGTGGGCACCAAGAACAGTCATAGGGTGTCTTTGCCCTTGTGATGCGGAAATCGAACCCTCTGGGATGTCCTTGGATCGGTCAACACCCCGAAGCAACAGGGCTCCAGCAGGCTCTAATCTTCGCCTATCATGCCTTTGTATTTTCCTCCTGCACTGCAAGTCCAAATAAACACCTCATCGTGTGGGTCAATCATTGCCAATCGCAATCTTACCTAGCTTTCTCAGAAATGTTTCAACCACTGTACCATGGGAAGGCACGAAAAAGGGACGCCTGCACCACGGCGTCCCACTCTGAAGCACTATGTGCAGGACAGAAAGATGCGAACGAAGGTTGGAAGGTGAAAAGCCAAGGGGTTGGTCCAAAACCAGCAACCATCGCTACGGGCCCAACCACCCCCTCCTAGAGATCCTAGAGGAGACCTGGCAGTTTTCGGATGCAGAGATACTACCGCTCCATCCCGCTCGCACCCGCTCGCACCGAGGCGTTCCCATATGTTCCCATGGCAGGACCGCAAAGGACTTGCATTGAATAAACATGTTTTAATTCCTCTTTTTGCTTGGTTTCTTTTCTAGCGATGGCCTCCAGCCTCTCCAAATCTCTCCAACCTTCTAGCGATGGCCTCCAACCAACCTACCGTCCACGTCAGGACCGCAAAGGACTTGGCTGGATGCAAACCGCTCTGAGTTCAGTCCCAGCGGCCATGCCCCGGGATGACCATCATCGGTTCGTCCACCACGTGCCGCGAGCGGCTCAGACCGACCGAGCGTGGATGTGGGATCACGACCTCAGCGTGGATGTGGAGCAACGTTGGATCACGACATGTTAAGACTGAGTTTTACCCCTGCAACCTAAGCTAACTTCTGCAGATGTACAGATTCTGTTGCAGGTATTGGTCAAAAGGACATGACATGCAAGTCTTGCAACAGAAAGTCAAACAATGACAAGCCACCATGATCTCCCTACCATGTCGATCTTGGGCGGTGTGGGATTATTAGAACTGCTAGTGAGAATGGTGAAAAAAAGTTAAAAGGAGCCAAAGCTTTTCATGTGTCCACGTCCAAGGGTCAACAACTAGAACTCCAAAACCCTTCCCCCAAAAAAAGTGACCCAAAACTCTGCCTTTCCGGCAGTCTCAGTCTCGCCCAGTTCGCCTCAGCCTGGCTCCAGAGAACTCCAGAAACGTCCCGAGAAAGTCTCCGCCGAGGCACCGGGGCGTTCTGACGGTTCACCAGCCAGTGGCTCACGAACAGCGTGAGCTGACCTTGGCGACGTGACAGGCAGTCTGAGGCCGCCATGACGAGACTCTTCAGACACGGGTCTTGGACCCGCGGCCAGTTCGACGGTGGTACCGGTCCGGAGATCGTTGTGGAGAGATCGGGAAGACGCAGGCGTCGGAAAGGCATCCGGACTTCGGGGGGGGTCGGACGAGAGAGAGTGTGTGTGCTTCGAAGGATATCCATAAGAAAACGCGATGTCTTTCAAAATACCGTGTCTTCCAGTTACTACCAAGACCTTGGAGTCAAAAGCAATGGAACATGGACCATGAGAGAAACAATACTGGCTATGTTGAAAGGCTACAAAATGGATCACCCGGCGGTAATCACGCTACAACAAAAAGAAAGAACCCCCAAGAGACGCAAGCGCGACCTGTTCCCTGCCGTAATTAAGTCGGTGTATCTGTGTATCGGTGCGGCGCATGATGGAACCCGCGGTGCCGGCACAATGAACTCTTCCATGTATGGAATAGTTAGATGCGTTGGGGTCAGCAATGGGGTACGGTATATTCAATTGTATGTGAGACTATTCCGTACATGGATGATCTGGGAAGCTTCATGCCTTCAACGAATCGTTGGCAGCGTCCCTCTCTGCCGCCCAGCTGCTCGTATGGCTTCCGAACTGCGTGCAGTGCAGGCCTGGCCAATAGCAGTGCCTCAGAGAGGGAAGTTCTGGAAACCTTTGGAGAGTGGATGGATGAGAAACCCCAGCGTTTCGCCCACCATGAAGGCTGAAGGTTGACCTCCCAGCTTCACCTCCCAGAGCCAACAAAGGACCTGGCATGAGGCTGCACGTGGGCGCAGCCAGCCTGGCAGCCAGCGGCTAGACCTTTGGATGATCAAGCCACATTCAAGGAACAAAGCTTGGGCTTCCCCTTCTCCAAAGTCTGCTGTTCCGTAGCTCCAGGAGGAAGCAAGCGAAGCGAAGCTAGGTCTCAAACCTGGTTGAGAATTGTTGAGATAGAAATGGTAATATTGGTAATAGTAGAGAGATGCACACTGATCCACTTTCAATATCTTTCAATCTGTTTGTGAATTGATTTTGAAGCAGTTTTCATATAATATATATATATATATGTATTTATTTATTTATATGCTTTAGTTATATATCGTGCCAGAATCCTACGGACCTGGGTTCCTGCCCTCCACGCCGAGACACTCTTGAACGACCCCTTCTTCCTTCTGCACCTGTACTTCCACCAGCTTGTCTCCTGCGATCCGCCGGCGGAGCCTTGTCTCCACGCAAGTCCTGACTCCTTCGAGCCTTTTCACACCAGGCATACTCATTCACCCAAGAGAATTTTTGAAGTTGCCCAAAGTCTGAGGTTTCGAGGTGGAAATGTACGAATCTGCAACATCCATTCACTCTTCCTACCCCTTCATTCAATCAATCACCCAGGTTCTTCCAATTGGAGCCCCAGACCGTCCCCGCAAGGCTCTCCCACCCCGACCTCCCCTTCCATCCCCGCTCTCCTTTTCCCTTGAAGCAGCACGGCGCCTTGTTCCGCCCCAGCAGTGACTGCTGCGAGCGGACCGGCCCCCCCGGCGGTCATGGCGCCGCCGGGTTCCAGGAGCCGCTGGGGGCGCTGGAGCACGTAGCGCTCGGGTAAACTCGGGGACTCCTGCGCCCAAGACCACGAGTGGGTGAAACCAGGTGGGAACTCCGGTGGAAAGGGCGGAACTGGCCGTGCCCGAAAAGGAATGTGCTTTCAAAGCTCGGTCCCTGCAGTGGACATGGTCACATCGCTGCCCTTTCAGCACCTCTTTCTCTCCTAGCAAATCTCCAAGTCACTACCTCCTCCAACAGCACCCCCCCTAACTGTGCCACGCGTGTCATTATGGTGCTTCATGGTGCTTCATGGTGCTTCCACCCAGCGCGTGTACAAGGGAGTAGTTTTCAGCGTGTACAATGGACTCGTGGCATGCCTGCCTCCAACCCCACCCCAGGTTCTGGAACTCCTCTTCCCGCCCTCATCCTTCCCTTCACTCCCTTGCGATCCCTAGAACGCCCCACTTTCAGACCCCTCCTCCTCCTCTTCCTCCAGCATCTCGTTCTCCTCCTCTGCCATACTCGTCACGGAGGCCCGGAAGGACGAGGACTTCGACCGCGCCATCGCCACACGTGCGTCCTGGCGGCGGGGACACGGGCGGGGCGGAGCCACGTGACTAGCTTGGCGAAGGGACAGAGCAAGACGCTGGAGAACTCTCTTTGTAATCTAGTTCGGATACTATCTACGGAACAAAAGTTGGCCTTCACATGCCTTCCATTTCCATTTGGAGTCGTTTGCCTGCCCTGACCGCTGAAACGTGCCACGCAGCATGTGTGTTGCCCAGCATGTGGGTCCGGTGGCCCCTGTCACGAGTTGGACCAGACAGGTTTTGCCGTGTTTTGCCTATTCTTTTGGTGGAAATGGATCACTGTCCAATAGTAGCCCCTTAGAGGTTAAAGGGTGTTCATGAGCCACCTTTCGTATCCTTTTGTGGGTGGTGCACTCCAATCCTCCAACCATCGCATTTCAAGACCTACATGGTGCCCGAGTTGGGCCAGCACCTAGTTCTTGCTAGCTCTCCCTGATGACCGTCTCGCATGCCGGTTTGATCGCCCTGAACCACCAATGACCTCAAGCGACCACGCGCAAAAAGAGGCCCCTGTCCGATCTGGGGAGGAGGAGCTCCAGCTGCATCGAGTCTAAATCCGGACCTGAGTCACATGACGCGAATGGCAAACCCCAGGCGTTTTGGAGGTGTCCTTTGTATATATATATATAGTATACAGTAATATAACGTTATCTACAACTCTTCTAATCCATGTTCCTTGATGAACAACATCATCCTCTATCCTACGACCATCCAGCAGCCTGCAGCGGTTTTCGCGCCAAGCTGCAGTCGGCGTCCTCGCCAGGCAGCAACCTCACCGTGCCAGGCGCATCCTTGTCGCTGGCGCCGATCGGGGTCAGCCTGGCCGTTTTCTGGTTGGCCGTGCGCGACGAAGGTTGGAGCCCCCAGCAGTGTTGCGGCGTTTCAACCGATGCCGCCGTAGAGCCTCTACAAATTTCTGCAAGATTTTGGGGGATGAGTAGAACAAGCAAAAAGAAGGAACACCGACCATCGGCTCCGTTTGGCTCATTGATTTAGACTGATCAGTTTGCCCAGTACTCAGCCACCCAGTGCAAGACTCGGTCCATGAACTGAATTCCACCTCACATCCGCGCTGCCCTCCTTGCTGCCAAAGCTCTCCAAGCTGCAGCAGAGTCGATTGCAGACTCGAACCATGTGCTCCACCGTCACCAGGAAGAACAAGGAATCCACGGGAGACCTGTGGAGGTCTCAGCCAGCCAGGGAGGAGCAGTCACAACCCCCAGGGCCCCCAGGCCTGTCTATAGCTCCTTACAGTTGAGGTTAAGGGATGTCCATGAACCACCCCAAACCAGGGGGCCCCCCTGGTAAATGGTCATGTCACGCAGTTCGCAGGATCGATGGTGCCAGGATCGCGCGGTCGATGGAATTGGAGAAGTGTTGGTCTGCGGTCCGTGGGTGTCTCGGTTCGTTCCAAGTTCGGTCCATAGAAGGTCCACGAAAACGTCCCAAACACCCACCACGACGACTCTGAAAGCTCTGAAAGCTCTGAAAGCTATAGACTCATTCAGAAAAATCCCCACAGCTCTACTGCATGTGCCATGGCTTCCCATCCCTCGCTTCCCAGGATGCCAGCATGTCCGAGACACGGCGGTTCGCTTCGAAGGGCGGAGTCCCGCCCACTGAAATCCACACCGCACCCCAAAAAGTCCACCTCAAGCTGATTAGCCACACCCAAGTCCCAAGACCCCATAATATAGAACCTGTTGTTGTTGTTGTTGTTGTTGTTGTTGTTGTTGTTGTTGTTGTTGTTGTTGTTGTTGTTGTTGTTGTTGTTGTTGTTGTTGTTGTTGTT